CTGACACTCGTGGCGCTCACATCCCCGGCACCCCTCATGTGCTCGGCCCGGCTAGATGTGAGGAGCGCCGGGAGCTGGGCCGCCGCTGCGTGCGCGTTCGGTGGGCGTGACGTGCGCTGCATGCGTGGTAACGTTTTCGATCGTCAATTTTAATCGACTAAATCGAATCGTTGTTGCAGCTCTAATTGTTATACAAATACAGCTGATAATCTAATATATATTTCATTGCAGTTTTTTACTTTCATGAATGCCGCTCACATGCCAAAGCTGGCCAGAAGAATTTCATCCAACATTTTTTAATGGTTAGTGGGGGTCTAATCGATGTTCTTTTTCGACCGCAGTGGCAGGGCAGGACATTTTTCTCATTTCTTATCTGAATGAATTCTAACCATGAATGGGGTTTTCGTTCAGGGAAAATCATATATATTTCAATGCGCATGTGCTAGGCATTAAAGAAATCCTGGTTAATATGTCTGGGATTCCATTCAAGTCTGGGTGAAGTTATTTGGAGTTTTGAACCAAATTTGAATGAAACTCAATATGGCAAGATTGAAAGCTCTGAAGAACGAATTTGAATTACATTCTATCAGTGTATGACCAGCTTAAAGCAATACAAGCATACATTATATCATCTTTATTTAAGGAAGAACTCTGGTTTATTGAAAAGCATAAAATGGATTTTCAGTGAATAGCCGATAACAACAACGTGAAAACCGAGCTGAAACGCTGTCACCCTGGGAATGGGGCCTAAGTGCTGTTAGAAACAGACTTTGCCCCCATTCTCACTTTAGCATGAGCGTTTTGAGGCGATTTTTAAGCTTTTCTTTTCCACAGTTTTAGTGTGTTTTTTAGGCTTGAGTGTTTTTGTTTTAGTCAATGTAAAGCTAGTTTCTAAGAGGTGGAGACACTTGTTACATGTGAAATCGTGTTGGAAAAAAAAATGTATACTGAGCTACACATAGGCAATCCATTGTACACTTCAGTACCAAAATGAATGAACTCCCATGTGCAGGAGTTGCTTCATTCCGGACCGGCCAATCAATATGTTGAAGATCCTGAACCAGGAAAGACTGGGCGAAGCTATCGATGGTGGGGGGTAAGTATAAGTTCACTTTAAAGAAGAAGCAGAACTCCGGGGAAGTTTTTTCTCAACCTTTGCAGTGGGGCTACCCTCGCACTGCAAGGGTTAAGTGCTCATTTTGGTCTAGGGAGGAAAATAACAGCTATAGCACTCGATCCTTGGAGGCGGTTTGCTCTTAAATCGGTCCCTGGAGCCTCTCTCCCCTGCCTGTAGAGGTCTAAGGTTCCTAAGTCATCACATTCTATACCCAGTGTATTGGATGTGAGGATGCTGAGGGACATTCCATTGCTGTAGCATTTAACCCTTGCAGTGCGGGGGTAGTCCCACTGCAAGGGTTAATAAAATATGTCCCCGCAGTTCTGCTTTAAGGCCTCATTCACACAGAACGCAAGAGCAAAATTGTATATTGCACTATATGCAATCCCAGAATGCATCATTCATAATAGAAATTTGAATGAACTGTACGTGTGTATATGTGCGTAAATACGCAGAAATACGCTGCCCGGACACATCTTGGTTCCATTCTGTTTTCACGCTACGCAAATATACGGCTCCATAAGCGGCTATGTGTATGGAGCCATTTATTTGCATATGGTACAATACGCACATGCGCACATATATGCGCAGCAGTGTGAATGAGTCCTAAAGCTCTTTTACTGCTAGTTAAAGTAAATACTTGAATATCCAGTCTGGGTTCTCATTCACTTTATATAATTACATGTATCTTGCTTAGTTTTTACAATTTTTCTTAGTAAATAAGATGATGAAATAAGAAATGTACATGTGGAGTTGGTAGGACAGGAAATTGAAGAAGAGAAGTGCGTGCCTGGAAAAATAGGATTGTTGAACAATTCCTCCATTCTTGTCATTAATGGTAGGGAGTACACCCAGCAAAAGAATCTCTAGGCTGTGTTCTCTTTATATCTGTTGATATTCCTGTCGGCACTGTAATAATATTTATGTTCTTAACAGTTCTGCCCAAGTTTTCAGTTTGTTACACAGTTGTCAAATCTGGGTGCAAAACAATTGTAGTCTCATACCTTCTGCGTTACACTGAGTGAATGTGAATGTTGCTCACAGCGATCAGTGGGAAATGGACTCTTATTTGCTGTTCTACAGATGCTCTCACACACACAGGTTCATTATATTGCAGATTGACTTTGACAGCAGGTTATTTGACAACAGTTGGTTATCAGACAGCTGAATTATCAAGCAAAATAGTGACACAATAAGTCACAGTTCAGGCTGCCTCTCTGTTCTGCAAAGTCTCTGCGACATGTTTACAATGTGTTTGCAACCGGTGCTCTTATATTCCTGGGCAGCCAAAAGCTTGCAACAGATTTACCACTTTAAATCTCCGTTTACACCGAGGCGTCAGCGTTTTCACACATATTAGCGCACGTTTTGTTTAGCGTACCATCCAGCGTGTTTTGCACATTTGTACGCGAGTTAGACACGCATATACAAAGGCACGCGTTTTATTAAGTAGATTGAAATGCATTGTGCAAACGTGCAGAGAAATGTGCAAAATGCTTGTGTTGCGCGTTTTCATGCGCTTCCATTGAAGTCTATGCGGCCAAACATGCTGTAATCTGTCTGCAAGAAGCTCATGTGCCTTTTCCAGCGTTCTGCGTTTTACAGCTTGCGACAAAACTCTCAGGTGCGAACAGGGGCCATAAAAATAAATGGGATTTCTTGTGCTGAGAGTTTTGTCACGCTTAGCTTTGAGCGTCAAAACGTCTAGGTGTGAACAGGGACTAAACAGACGCACAATGAACCGCTTCCGGGCCGCAATACGGACAGAAGAAGTGATTAAACCAAGAACACAGCTGCTGCTGCCATGTTCTTGGCAACATTTTGAACAGCCGGCTGTTCAGATACAAGCGATCCGGCATCTGTACAGCTGCCGGATCGTTTGTACCGATCGGGGGCATGTGCTGCCGCCAACCTCTCTGACAGCTTCCCCGGGCTCCACTGTTCCCCGTGCTGGGCCCAGGACCAGCACGGCGGGTCTTCCTGCAATGAGTGGAGAGAGATCAGCAGGCTTCCAGCCACTGATCTCTTCTCTGATCACTGGACCCAGAGGTGAAGTGTATTACATGTCACTGTTTACATTCTCTGGCTCTTAGAGCAAGGAGAAGAAGCTGGTGAAGACCTCTGCTTCCTCAGCTTCTTTGGGGTCCCTTGGTGACATTACGGGTCTGAAAGACCCCTGATGTCTCCATAAAGAGGACCTGACACAGCCTATCTGCTATTACATAGGGGACTTGTAAGTCACCTATGTGATAGCAATAAGGTTAGTGTAGAAAAAAAAAAAGTGTTTGAAAACTAAAAAAATTAAGTAACATATTAGAAAATGTAAAACATTTTTTTACAGCCCCCACCCCCCACATGCATGTACATACATACTTAAACACGCATTGTGTGCCTACGTGCAAAAACATAAATTGAGCTACATATCTGTTAGATATTGCCGCAAACGTCAGACTGAGATCAATAATTCTAGAGCCATTAATCACTGTTAGCACTTAACTGATTAGTGGTAAAAGCTTTTAAAGTGTCCTCTATGGGAAATTTGGGGTATTGAAGTATTTTGCAGCTTCACGGGCAAATGCAATTTTAAGGCTTGACATGTTTGGTATCTATTTACCTGGCATGACCCCGTCTTTTTTATTTTACCAAAAAATTTGGTATTATAATCTGTTATGTGCACTAAATTTCATTTTAGTGTATTTTAGCCTAAAAATACTGGTTAGATAAACATTTACGCAAATACCGTGCGACATAAATAATTGCAACTAGCATTTTTTGTTTATTCTACAGGGCCTCTGCTTTCAGAAAATATATCATTGTTTGGGGGGGGGGGGGGGGGTGGGATGGTGGTGCATTGAATGGCACCGCAGCCAGGCCACTCCCCGCAGTGCAATTGGGCATGTGGCAAAACATTGCAGGCGTTCCGGTCCACTGCAAATGCAAAAAATGCTGCATGCTTTATTTTTTGCATTCACAGTGGACTGGAATGCAGGCAATATGTTGGCGTGCATCCCATCGTACTGCGGGCAGGGGGTGTGGCTGCGATGCCATTGGCTTCAATGAAGGGGGAAGTTTAGTGAGCGATTGCTGTGCGTTCCATCAGCTACCGCTCTAGAATGCACTGCAATTAGATTCAAAGGATTCGTCCAGCAGGCAAAAGAAATTTAACTTAATTTACCATTTTCCAGTCTGTGTCCCCCAGACTGTCTTACAGGATCCATAGTAAAGATGGTTTTAGCAATTGTTTACAATATTTCTATTGTGATTTGATTTTAAATGGGGGGTTCTGAAGTTATTTTTCTGAAGTTGTCTTGTTTGTCCTATATTATGTAGAACTCCAGGAAATGTAAAAATGAACCTTTGCTGTGGGGCTCCCCTCTCACTGCAAAGGTTAACTGCTTGTTTTGGTCTAGGAGCTAAAATAAAGCAAATATACTCACCCTATCCTCGGTCCTGCGGCAATAACCACTCACGGTATACTGAACGCTAGTTTGTGTCCTCCCGTTACCCTTAGGAGAACTATGGGGAAAAACACTTACCCCCATAGTTCTCCTTTAACCCTTGAAGTGCAGGGGTAGCCCCACTGCAAGGGTTCATTTTTTTACATTTCCTGAAGTTGTCTTTTAAACTGTCAGTTAACTGACCTTGTTCAACTTTTAAAAATGACAGGTGTAAATTTGCATCACTCCTTGTTTTGCATTTGATTTGCACTCTTGATAATGTAAATCTGTGTGTGATTTTCCAAATGTAAGAAGAAAAGGCCTTTGTGTGTCCTTTGTGTGGCAGGTGCAGTCTTCCCTTATCCGCTGAATGACTGACACTGACATACTGCCACCATTCACTGCCATGCCTCTTCTCATCATTTGTTTTTTCTTCTTCTTTGCAGGAATTGGCCAGTTCCGTTTATCTGGTCATGGAGGTGAGTTGTGTTCTCTTTTAATGAACATATATTTTAGACCACACTCATTTAAAAAACGCTTATTTTTTCAGCATATAGTAAGTGTTGAGGATCGGTATGAAGAGATGTGAACACGCTGAGTACTTTTATTGCTGCAGTATGGCTTGGCTCACTTTTGCTTGCTCTTTCTTTTTCTTCTTTTTTGGTAGCTGTTTTAGTATATTGCTGACAATCCTTAAAGCCCAGCTCCAGGCACAATAATCTTCCCGGAGTACAGTAAGTTCTATAGTGCCTTTTCTAAAAACCCACCTGATGTATTCAGTACTGGCTTCTTCTCCCCACAAATCATCAGCTATACATGCAGGCAAATAAATGTTCAGTTCCTACCGTATTTTCATTCCCCTCTCTGTCCAGAATAGGAGAGGTCACTGGCACTCCAGTATGCTGATCAATACGCCTTTTATTGATGCATGCTCAGTATCACATACCACAACGTTTCGGGGCCACGCAGGATCCCCTTTATTAGGCAAATCAGTGCTGGGACTTGGGCATTAATCTCCTCCTGTCCAGTCATGAAGCAAATGGCCGCAGACCCCGTTTTATGATTGGCCAGGAGGAGAGGAGGCAGAGATACAACAACAGTGTCTACAACACCTGTAGCACTACAGCAGGAGCGAGCATTGAAGTTCAGCGAGATCTGGACCTCCACCCACATGTATAGTTAATAATTTGTGGGAAGAAGTCAGTACTGAACATGGCATGTGGGTACATCTCACTATACTCCAGTGCAATTATTGTGCCTGGAGTTCAGCTTCAGAGCAACTCTTCAAATAAGGCCAGCCTGGAAAGAAATCAATGACTTCCTCAATTAGGGAGCTCTTTGTTTGTTTGTGTTTTCTCTGGCACTGCAGGATTGGCAGCTTTAGGCCTTGTTCACACCAAGCGCGTTCCAGGTGCAGAGCAGAGCATTTACAGACCGGATCAAAACTGCGTCCAATGTATTCCAATGGTATTTTGGGCTCTAGTTCACACTGCAGTGTTCAGTTCCAGAGCATGTAAAAAAAACTGCAGCAAGCCCTATTTTACCTGCTCTGGAACACCTGCAAACGCGTCAAAAACGCGTGCAAACGCCCTGGAACGCACTAAAAGCCCATTCTAAACTAAAAAAAAAATGTTTTTAGTAAAAACGCGGCACAACCCACTGCACTGCGTGTGCAGAAACTCGTGCAGATCTGGTCCGCACTACTCCCAAAATATGAGGCATTCTGTGATTGGACAAGGGGAGAGGAGGGGTGGATAAACGACAGGAGCTACCCTTGTCCAATCACCTATAGCCATACACATAAAGATTTCTCTCATTCAGTCTACCGGCCAAATCAGTCAGTACCCCCATTCACTCTAAACAGAGTGGATGGACGAATCTACCCTGCCAGCAATCTCTGCTCGGACAACTTCTTCTTTCTTTTTTTTTTTTACAAACCGGATGCTGTTTGCAGGGCCACCTAATGGTCGAAATTTGAGCTGCGTATGGGCAGCTTTAGACCTGGTGAGACTAAAGCTTTTAACTTGAGACTTTAGAACTTTAATCTATTTGTTACTGGCCTGTAAACTCTCTCAGACATCTAATTATATAACTTTCGTGGACAATTTCTTGAGGGACCGTAATATCCAGGGATACCAGTATCCCTAAGAATGAGATGATGCGTGGACCTATATGGGTTGGACTTGATGGACGTATGTCTTTATTCAACCCCAAATACTATGTAACTATGTAACTATGTCCACCTTAACACCAGGGCGTATCACGAACATGTGTCAAACATGCACAAAAGTGCATGCTTTGACGTGTGTTCACTACACGTGCACAAACGCGGAATGCGCTTGTGTTGTCATTACTGGGTAATGGCACCACAAACGCGGCCGAGCAAAAGCATTTTTTCCTTGCGCGTGAGAATGTGTAGGTAAAAGACGCAGAACGTATGTCACCAAATTTTCAACCTGTACCACTTTTGCGCATTTTGCCACGCGCCCAGAGACCCACTGAGGACATGTGCCAAACGTGGGAAACAAAGTCTCTCAAATATGCGGGAACCCACGTTCCCGCTACACCCTGATGTGAACAGGGACTTGGAAGACGTTGATAGATGCAAAAGAACATAATATACACAGATTCCTGGTGTGTTTTCTATTCACATATCGCTGAAGCTTCATTCATTACATTTGTTAACTTTGTACTGGGGATGCTTCTGTTTTAGTATTGTTTAAAACCAGACTATAAGCTAGAATCACAATTTAATATTCAGGCCACATGAGAGGTATGTAAATGTATAGCGGTGTGTGCATGTACATATATAATATATATGTTTGTATGTTAACATATGTAATCAAATATTTTGTAACCTTTTAAAAATGATTGGCTTTTTAACTTCTTCTGTCGTTCTGCTTTTTAGTATTGCAATGGCGGAGACCTGGCTGATTACCTTCACAGTAAGTACAAACTTATTTTATATGACCGTTTAGAAATAATAACACTTCTAAAAACGACCTCAGAGACTTAAAGCATAAAGAAAGCACAGTTGTGAAGAAATATAAAAAAAAAAATCAATACAAGAGCAAACATTTATTTATTGCAGGCTTGTTCTAGCATGTTGGGTAGAAGTAATAAAATATCAGAAAATGAATAACATGCTTACCACAGGCTTAGATCCGGTAATGATATACTTTGGCATTTAGCGGGTGGGATCGCTGACATTTTTCTTCCTACACAAAAAAAAAGGTTTTATTACTGTTATGTCTGTATGTGCGGGTTTGTTTTTTTTACATGACTGTGAAAGCTGCCTTGTTTGTTTTGTTTCATGTTTGGCTCGTGTATTGTTGGAATAAAATAGGAACATGTCATAGTAATTCATTATGGAAATCTGTGTGTACCCTAGACAATTCAAACATCATTTTGATATTTTTGCTCATGTCTGCAGTACCCCAGATAACGTAATACATGAATGATTACTGTCAGAGAGCAGTAGGCTTAATGGGGCAGGTAGGGGAGTAGTGGAAATACAGCTCATTCAGCTGTCAACTGCAGCTTCACATATCTTAACCTGTTGCATGGACAACAGAGATGAAAGATGGAACAGAAATGTTTAGTTGTGCAAATGGTTTAATATTAGGGTGTGTACTAAATAAAATACAAATATATTTTGGAAATGAGCTCATTTAGGAAGGCTTCTTGTGGGGATCCAGAATGCCTTTAGGTATAACTAAACCCTTGAACAAAGATGTGATATATGGCCGCTTACCAGTCCTCAAATGTGGTGACTGAATTAGTTTTACTTTGAGCTATGCTTACAGTTCAATATAATCTCATCTTCCTTTTGTAAGGGCTTGTTCACACCAAGTGCGGAGCAGATGCAGAGCAGTTACAGAACACATCAAAAATGCTTCCAATGTATTCCAATGGTATTTTGGGCTCTAGTTCACACCACAGCATTCAGTTCCAGAGTATGTGGAAAAACAGCAGCATGCCCTATTTTTTCTGCCCTGGAAGGCACCAAAACGCATGCAACAAAACAAATTTGCCCTGCCTAACAGTATGCGTTAAAAACAAAGGTTTTAGTTGCACAACATTTTGCAAAAAATATGACATTTGAAGTCCAGCCTAGATGGCAACCAAGACTCCCTCCATTTGATATAGTGGTAGAGTGAGCATAGGGACAGGCAGTGTGTTTGCAGGATTAGGACTGGTAAGCTACAGTATATTACATTTGTGTGTTTTGGGGTTAGATGTGCTGTAATTTATAGGAAAACTACCAAATATTTAACATTGAATTGCACTAATGGTTGCCAGCTTTGTGTGCACCGTAAAGCGGCAGAAGAGAATTTTCCAATTGGTTACAATCAGTGAAGTATAAATTGGGCACTTGAATGGCCAATAGAACCAGGCTTGCTTTTCTAGAAGGTCACATTACATTAGTACATGCTAAAGGTATTCTAATTGAACCCATGGATGTGTCTTCTGGAACCCATGGTGCTACTGTAGCGGCAGCACTAATAGATAATGATAGTCTGTTGGCTACCCAGATCAGTAGATTTTTCCACAGGTAAAGGTTTTCTCAGGTTGTATTTATAACAGTCTGGGTTCTTTGCAATTGTTGCCCAGTATGGCTGAAATTGCAGGTGGGCGAAAGGAATGTTGAATTTGACTAGTTCTAGTTATGCTCTTGCTCCTTTAAGACAGTCTGCTAGGATATGTGTTATGAATGGAAGTTGCATAAAGCCTGAGGAATGAGCAGTTACATTTTAATATCAGCCCCTTTCTAGGATCTCTGGGAATGTGTTGAACTCTGTTGCTCCAGAAATGTGGTTTTGGTGAGCGCTTTCATGACTTGCCATGTCAGACAAGCATCATGTTTAAGTTTACTTTTCTAGTCCAGATCTTAGGATATTACTATACGTCAGACCTTGGATTGACCTGGCTAAGCAGCATGTGCTGACCCTGTGAAATAGACCCCGTGCCAGGGAAATGAGAGGGGAAAAAAGCCTAAGCAAACAGCCCCGTTCCTGAGAGAATGGTTTAATCACAGCCTTACTCCACGGAAATAAGCAAAGGGATATAGTTACTTCCCAGCATTGCTGGCAGAACGGTGTCTTGGGAGCAGATAAACTACTTTATTACTGATCATTGTGAAGAGCAAGGATGAGTACTTCTAATTCCCAGAGGACCTCTTCTACTAGATGTACACATTACCTAGATTTAGAATACTGAAGTGTGGAGAGGTGCCTTTTACATTCACTACTAGAAGCAGTGTTCTTGATTTCACAACAACCTTTACCCTTGTTTGTCCACAAAAATTTACCCTTGTCTGGAATTCCTCCTGAAAATTAGCAGTACACTTTCTGATATGTGAGGGTACCTAGGCACCCCTGTTCATACAGTCTCATATCTGGATATCTGCAGTGTGAGATCTAGGACACTGCTGCCTCTGCTAAATGCGATTTGATGTGAAATTTAGTGGCCACTACTATGCTGCTTACAGTTCCTCTTGCTGGAAGCTCTGACATGTAGTAGGAAAAGTCATGCCTCCGCCAAGGTGGCCGCCACACAGAGACACGGTGCAGAATAAGGACCGGTGCACACCTAGGCGACACCTCAACGTGTGGCAATCATGCACGATTCTGCGCGGTATACCCGCCTGGTCAGGAGCCGCTAAGGTGTGCATTGATCGCGCTGTGGGTGCCATTATTTTCTAAAGGCAACCCAGTCGCGCCGGGCAGATAAAACAGCCGGGCGTTGTGTACTGTATTGCAAAAAAAAAGGTACATGTACCTTTTTTTTCTGCGATTGCCGCGTGGATGCCACCCCCTTGGAATCAATGGAACCGCGCGGCAATCGCTGCCTGCATTGTGCAGGACCGCGCGATCGCGTAGGTCTGCAACGGGCCTAAGGCATTTTAAGTCAATAATGGGGAAAAGATCAGCTGCAGGAAGACCACTCAGAATACTGGGGACTTTGCCCTCTGCTTTTCCTTTTTTTGGGCACATCTTCCAGTTCCTCTTTAATCCCCTGACCACCACCAGGGCAAGAGGATACAAATCTGGTACAAGTGAGTTCTGGTGTGTATTTTATAAAGGACAATCTCTTTTTTTTTTGTATTCAATATTTTATTAGAGGTTTTCTAGAGATAGATATGTCAGAAATATGAAATACACTAGGGGTAACAAACATATAATGACAGTCAGGGCATAGTGGTACAGATAACTGTTGTTGTACACTGTAGACATATTATGAGGAACCCAAGTTTACCACTCCTGCTTGTGATTAAGAAGATCGGTGCATGGTTCTGGGAAGGTGACATGGTGGTGTAGGGTTGGGATGATATCCTTTGTGTTCACGAGTTATCTTTTTAAGAAGCAGTGTGAGGCAGGTCAGTCTGTTGTATTTTTAATAGCCTTCACATATATGAAATGTTAATCACTGGTGCATTAATATTTCATAGTCCCCCACAGACTCCTCAGTAGGCTCGAAACATTCCCACGCTTGATTTGGAGTCTATCCCTTGATTTCCTGTGTTGGTCTGAAACATTGTTACAACACAGACTATATTTTCATAAGCATTTAAAAAACCTCCAGCCTTCTGTTCAGTATATTGGCAAGACCGAGAGCTTTTTTCAAGCTACCGTCAGCCATGTAGAACTGGCAGGGCAACAGAGCAGCTGAATTACATAGTTTTGTTTGAAGTCATTGTATATTTTATATGGAAAACAGCTACTGTTTTGTGTTATGTTGGTATGTCTTGTGAATTAGTCTATCCTGCTGCATTGTTTAAATGTTGAACTTCAGATAAAATAAACAATGACATGCATTTTCCACTCGTGTACCGCTTATAGGAGTAGGAGGGAGAAAGCTTCCCTTACTGAAAAGTCAGCTGTGAGGCCTGCTACATATGTGCTGAATAAATACAGATTTGAGGACACATCTTTCCTCCTTGTGCTGCTGTCCGTTATGATTTCATATTTTCTACATTTATTTTATTACAGGTATTTATATAGCGACAATTTACGCAGTGCTTTACATGCACATTGCAATCTAAGGTTCCTATGACACATACAGGGCCAATTTACCTACCAGCATGCGTTTGAAGTGTGGGAGGAAACCGGAGTACCTGGAGGAGACCCACACAAGCACAGGGAGAACATACAAACTCCTTGCAGAGCCAGGACTCCTTTAAACTAGGGACCCCCAGTGCTGCAAGGCAGGAGTGCTAACCACTACGCTACAGACTGCATTTACCTGTGTGGTAAACATTGGCTGTAATGCCCATATTATACGAGTCAATTTAGCAGTGCAGTTTGAATGATCCCCACATTCCAGTGTTTATTGGCAGCCAATGTGCACTTACCTGCTATATGAATGCATTTCAGCCTATGTTTACTATACTAATGAGTGTAAGCTGTATCACAAGTGTCTGATTAAGCATCAGCAAGACCAGGCAGTTAAGATACATATATTTATCTTGGTGCCATGGGCTTCAGGTTGGTCATACAAAGGCCATCCATTGTAAAGGCTAGGTATCCAACACTTCACTTAAGTGACACTAAACTCGAGTTAAATCTTAAAATTGCATTCACGTACTTTAACTGTTAACAAAAATGTATCTTATTTGTGTAATCAGTCAGCTGTAGATAATCAAATCATCTCTGAATTGGTGCCGACACTGTCCTTCCTTCTGGAGGGTGGTTACTTTTGGTTTCCCAATTTCAGTGTTAGATTCCAGCTAAGGGCAGATAAAGGCAGAATGGGGCCCTAGGCAAGGTAGGAGTTTTGTCCCCCATCTCATGGATTCACATTGATGAGGAATACAATAGGCACAAAAAAGTTTCCCCATTTGCATTGTTCTGACATGCCTATCATTGCACCCTTGTGAAGTGACAGACACCTAGGGGCACATCATGATCAAGTACCCTGTTTTTTTGGTTTCCTGCATGAGCATAGGATTGTAGGTGTGCCCCTGAACATCCATCAGGCCCTAAGTTCCCACCTAGGTTTCTTATGGATGATCGAGCTTTGATTCCAACGGTCATTTTCAGACCAACTTTGGATTTAGATTGGTTGCCATCAGGCAAGAGTTCTTATTTTAGACCGTTAATGAATGAGGCCCAGATTCAGTAACCAGGTACAGATCTGTGATGAAGCTGGAAAACCTTTTTCTTAAGGTGGCTATGCAAGAGTCAACAGGCAGGCAGATTAGGAAAAATCTAAAGAAAATCAACCTATGTATAGGTCAAAAAAATGTTGCCGAGGCCTATAGATACTCTTTTGGGTGCCATTTGTGTGGGACCAAAAATAATATAGTCTATAATGATCACAGACAGTTGTCATTATCTAAGTCATTGTAGGCAGTTACAATGAACCGACAACTAGGTTTGCAGGTGAACACAGGTATATGTAATTATCTGTTTCATGTTGTCTAATGATAATGTTATAATTACAAATTGAAGTTTATAATTGTAATGTTACTGCACTAATAAGTTTTGTAGTGCTCTGCATTTTCCATGTAAAATTGCCTTAATGCCAGGTTGTAAACGATTTTGTGCCTTCCAGCCATGCGGACCTTGAGTGAAGACACCATCCGGCTATTTCTTCAGCAGATTGCAGGAGCCATGAAAATGCTGCACAGCAAGGGGGTTATTCACCGAGACCTGAAGCCCCAGAACATCCTTCTTTCATGTACTGGAGGACGGCGGTCCAACCCCAACAATATCCGCATTAAGATAGGTGAGCCATGCTTATCAGTTATCATAGGCTGCCTCTTTGTAGTTGATAAGTCTGATCAAGAATAAGGATTGTGTTCAGCAAGTAATCACTTTACAAGTTGTGGAGATATAATATCTATTTGTTATATGTAGCAGCATATAGTAACCAGTCAGCTCATTAAACATAATAAGTGATGGCACGCAAGACAATTTTTATTTTATTGCTTTGGATAGAGTGTGGAAAGGGATCGTGTGTGAAATGGCCACATATAGCAATAACAACCTGACCCGGGATTTACACATCTTTTCCAGTTAAATCCAACTAAAATGTGGGAATTTTGGGTACAAATATTTATAAATACACCCTAAAATGATATATATTGCAATACATTTTCTATAGAACTGCACTGTATTTTTCACAATTGCATGACCTGCATTATAATCGTACTTTAGAATATTTCTGTGTAATATTTTATGTGTGCTATTTTTGTAAGACTTGCTTATGGTCGTAGAGCATATATCACAGGCTTTTCTAGGTTTCTCATTCCTGATATCCTGGCTTCGTTTCAACTCCCTTTCCTGGCTCCTTGTAGCCAAGTATTTTATCTAGTTATTTATAGCTTAGGTAGGGGGTTGGGAAATGTTTCTTTTCTAGTTATATGCTCTGGGTAGAGGGCGTGCTATACATGCTCTAAGTATCTCTAGACATATCGCCTTGTAAAATCAACATCCCTGTGATATGTGGGGCGACTGCTTGCTTTAGATAGGCCTTCTGGACAAAACTCAATGCGGACTTTCTGTCTGCAGTTTTCCTGTTATACTTTTGTGCATTCTCATGTTGTTTTGGCTTTTTGTCTGGCCATTATTCAGCAGGCTGTACCATCAGATCATCCTCTGGCTTTAAATGCAGCTGGCATGAGCAAAGTACAGTATTTCACATATCTTCCAGCCAAATCGATAGAATTATGAATTAGAATGAATAATTATAATGCAGAATTATTATAGACAAAGCTTATCTTGGGTACATAGAAGTATTTGGGCAACACTACCATTTCCTGTCATAACAGAAATTACAATGTAATCCGTTGCATCACTTCTACTTTTCTGTGTATGTTTCATACAGCTAAACTCCATGCAAGCTGATAAATACATAGTTTGAATAAATATATGGCAACCTTTTTAAGTTTATCATTCTTTACAACTGGTCTTGTGAGTCCGGTATTCCTGACTCTCAACCTCCAATACGGCAGCCACGCATCTTGTTTAAGAACACACCCTTCAGCCTGTTAATTAGATAGTAAAAGAGCAGCAGGAGACAGATGAGTTCATCCTTCTGCTCGCTCTCTCTACCACCATGTCAGCACATGTGCATGCTGAAGATTCTGGTTGGCTTCTAGTTTTGGTTCTCTATCTCCTGCACACAGTGTTGTAACGCAGGGGTTTATAAGAGTCAGATTTTAAGACAACAGAAGATGTATGTTTTAGTTGCATTTTTGAATGCGTTTAAATAAATAGATATGTAACAATCTGTGCTTTTCTTATCTGCCTGGAAGTCCGCATTAAAGTAATCTGTGTGTGTGTTTTACAATGTGTCATTTTCGGCAGCTGTTTAACAACTTGAGGTAAACAGGTTGAGCAACCTGACACACTTCTCTTTTCTGTAAATGCATTTTGTTAATGTTGAACATTTGTTTGTGTTGCTGAATGCTTTCATATTGATATTGGAACTGGATTTTTTTTTAAATTAATATGATTGATTTATAGAGCTCCATCAAAAGCACAAATGCGTTTTTCATGATCCTGGAGACTGCCAGATTCTTGTGTCCCTTGTTTGCTTTTCAATAGATTTTATAAAGGTTTTCAAATAAACTCTCCAGGCTTTGTCTTCAACATGTGGCAGTGACGAGAGCCTATCGCGATCATGCTGTGACCATGTCCAGCTTTTTTCATTAATAGGACTCTATTGTCAGCTTTATTATTATGTATCAGCAGGGCATAGTGTGCCGCAGATCAGTGTGCAGATTACACAGTGTGCTGCAGATTACACAGTGTGCTGCAGAACAGATGGTGTGCCAGGGATCGGATGGTGTGCCACAGATCGGACATCGCGCCACAGATCAGACAGTGTGCCGCAGATCAGTGTGCCACAGATTACACAATGTGCTGCAGAACAGATGGTGTGCCGGGGGTCGGATGGTTTGCCGCGGATCAGTGTTCCTGCGTATGGTGTTCTGCTGATCAGTGTGCCACAGATTACACAGTGTGCTGCAAAACAGATGGTGTGCCAGGGGTCGGACGGTGTGCCGCGGATCAATGTTACCGCAGATCAGTGTGCCACAGATTACACAATGTGCTGCAGAACAGATGGTGTGCCAGGGGTCGGACAGTGTGCCGCAGATCTGTGTGCCACAGATGTTTCAGCTCTGTCTTTTCTGTAACAATATTTTTTTATTGAATTGAAATTTTACAAATCCAACAATATAAAGATATTGGTTCACAGTGCATCATTACATCGGTTCTCCTGTACAATCAAAGATTCACAGGTACTAAATGAATATATGACAAATATGCACACTCAAGGAACAGGGCGACCATGTGGTCTTAAGTGTTCATCACACACAATCAACACCATAACAATTGCTTAGAGGGCAGTTCCATGTCCCCTGGCAGTGAGCCAAATAACAACCAGAAACATAAGGTGGGGTAAGGCCCCAAGATCTGCTCTGTCTTTTATGTGTTGTGCATTCTCTTCTGCTCAAACAGGATAAAATCTTGAAGTTCCCATTCAGAAATCCTAAGATGTGGTGTAAGTTGTTGACATAGCCTGGTCCCAGATCAGTGGATGCATCACACAGTGGCCATATTGCTTAACAAGTGGGGAAGAAATAGCTTGGCTAATCTATAATTAGTATAGAACAAAGTTTTTTCCAGAACAGCCTGTTGTGCAATATGTGTCATTCTCAGACAGTATAATAAATAGAGCTGCAATGTTTACACACATCTAGTGGTTTTATCTTGTACTGATTATTGAAGTTTATTTTAAGTATACTTGTTTTTGGATGATTTGTAGTAACGGTAGCACCAGCTCTGAAAATAAAGGTGTATCTAAATCCAAGATTTACTGGTGAGGGATTAGAACCCCTGTCAGGGTTTTATTGCTGGGAGAACAAATGGCCAGCACACTTAAGGTTACAGACCCTTGTAATTGGTCTGTTCTCTTGGATTTTCATGGTATCACTGTAGGCCATGCAACCTTCTATAGGTGTTAAAGGTTAAGTTGCTAGATGGATTTGTGCCAGGTTTTTATTGCTAACATTCAGCATCCTGTCCCTCTCGATCACCAACGTCAGTGGCCAATGGTGGTACTGTATAAATCGGAACAGAAATTGCCAGCGTCCCATAAACACTATGTATTAAAAGCAGAGGTGTTAGTAGCATGTATATGCAGCAAATCTATATGGAAGCCACACTGCCCCGCCAAGCCTCCTCCTGTATAGTGTGGTCCCTAATTTTCTCACTGGGGTGGTACACTCTCTATTTGTCCTGATGGGCACTATCATCAGGACTGAAAGGGAGGAAAAATGCAAAACTTTGACTTGTCACTAGAAAAGGAGTAGAGGGGAAATCTTCCAATGTGTGCACTTGTTCCTGTGACAGAAAGTTAAGGGAAATCTCTTGAATGGGACACAGCTGCAAGACTACATTTTAAGCCTTTCTTTTACAAGACGAGTGTAGCTTTAAGCTTCTATGTACTGCTTTGGATGAACGTTTATATAATAAATGGCTATATTTCTTTTTTTTATGAATAGTTTGTCCCATTTAACAATATTGGCCTAGTTGCAGTAATCCTTTGTGCAATACTAAATTGTCTTTTGGTTGATCTGAAGTAAGATGTTCTTAATGAAATCTGTTTTTGTGCACAGCTGACTTTGGATTTGCAAGATACCTGCAGAACAACATGATGGCTGCAACTCTATGTGGATCTCCCATGTACATGGTAAAGAAACCTTTTTATACCTTCTCTTATTGGGCGCACAATAAAACAAAGTTGTAAACTGGGTAAATTCCACAATGACAGTAATCAATTGGCACTGAATATATTTTGAACAATTGTCAGTCAATAATGGCCGTATTTAGACACAAGGGATGATGTAGCTGTCACAAATCTGCATATGAAGAGGTCATCTTCTGTGGAAACCACATGTCTAAGCAGTCAGGAGACCTGGGATATAGGCAGCTAAAGTTGTATGAAAATCTCAACTTTTTCTGTTAGGAGTTGAGCTTAGTTCTACCCCCCCCTATTGATTCCTTATTATGACATGTGGCCTTGTTAGCCAATATGGAGTTTTGGAAGGCAGGAAGGGTAGGGCAAGCTTAAAGGCTACCACACTTATAGCTGAACAAGAAAAAAAGGTTTGATTCCGCCATCCACACAAGCAGCATGAATCCCCCCTGCTGGGCTATTGTATTCTGACACCAGCAGGTGCACCGCTGTCAGAATACCCAAACATTGTCTGCAGCTGATTTGGCTGCAGTCACTGTTTGGCCAAGATCTTTCTGCCTGCCTGCTTTAATTTTCAGATCGAAGCATGCCATATACCAACATGGCCAGCCATGGAGCAAGTTTCTTCTGGTTCATCAAGAAGAACCATCTGAAATCACTCCGTGTATGACCAGTTTAACTCTCACAGAAAAAGTTGAGATTTGTATATAATTTAAGCTGCTGTTATTTCTGACTGATGTGACTTGCCGTTTTTACTGAGAATAACCTTTTTTTGCAGCATGTACTTGTGTGTATTTCCCAGGATTTGACTAGTCTGTGACAAAAATGTGTATAAACATGTCTCTCTATGGATTCCGGTTTCTTTTTTTTTTTCTCTTGTGTTATTGCAGTAAAAGTCAATTGTGCCATTTCTGCCAACATTCGTTTTACAGATACAGACATTCATTTGACAAACATTCGCTCTGTAACATAAACATTTAATGTGACTGAAAGGTGATGAAGGTTGCCGTTTACCCCCTTTTATTTCTCTCTACAATAATTATGCGGGGAGCTATAAATGTTATGTTAGAACATGTGATGTATGCCCACACATTCTGTCTCCGCTCCCTTCCACGGGTAATAATAACAACAGAAAATATGTTACAGATGTTGTGTTTTATATTGTTGTCTGCAATAATGAATTATCTTCGTTATTGTGATTGTTGGTGCACATAAATAATTGTGTGGAAAATCGATGGTGTCTCTCTTCCATTTTATTCTGTGATTTAATTTTATCTCTGGCATCTACAGTACCGTGTTTCCCCGAAAATAAGACACTGTCTTATATTTTTTTTTTTACCCAAAAAATCACACTAGGCCTTTTTTTCGGGGGATGTCTTATTTTAAATACTGTCACACACAGTATCACAATACCTGCAGGCTGCAGTTGTCCTGGAGCTCTCCTCTCTGATGCCGTCCACAGTTCTCTGTGCGATCCCCGCCAGGGAGCCACCTCTCTCGTCGCCATGCTGGACTGCACGGACCTCCAGTCAGAAGTTCCCTCAGTGACTGAGGCTCAGTCACCTCCACTCACTCCGACCCTACTGGCCATACGTTCCTTGCTGTGCTGCTGCCTGCTGGGAAATGTAGTTTCCTGCCCAGCGGCAGCTCTCTAAGCAACGGCTGAGGCAGACAGGTGTCTGCTGATTTCGTGACAGGGGCGGCATGCGGGAGCTGCGGCGCAGTGGTTAGTCCCCGCCATGTACTCTGGTTGCTCTCTGGGCCACCCCCAAACTAGGTCTTATTTTCGGGGTAGGTCTTATATTACAGAAATGTTTAAAAATAGTGCTAGGTCTTGCTTTCGGGGAAACACGGTATATCACTATATACATCAAATGCACTAAAAAAAAGCTGTAAAGAATAGCTAACAATTACAGCAGGTTTGGCCATAGTCATGCAAGGAGCATTGAAGGAGCCATTTGAATATAAAGTATGTATTTGATATTTACATCTGTTAAAGACATTAATGGAATGTCTGAATCTGCCGTCACTCTGTTACCTCCATGGAATATGAGAGTGTGAATGAGACAGTGTTCAGCATCCTATGCTGCATCTGCCTAGGGGGATGGGAACTATCACATCTGTCAGGGAGAATTGCCATGCTTGACTGCTGGCAGTTGGGCACCTATCTGTAAAGTAAACAGCTGGCATGTGCCCAACAATCATCAGAATTCTTATATCCTGGAAGCTGTTTTTGTCAGTTAGGTCCCTTTTAGCTCCTGAGCTGGGCTTCAAGACAAAAGCAGACATCAGGCATTTATTTATACAATGTGTTTCTCTCCACTTTGCCTAAACATCTGCACAATACACACACTGAATCCTAAGTGGTTCACCTATTCAGAGGAGGGGGTTAGAAAAACAGCAAATCGGCACGTATTGTTTTGTCTTTTTCTTTTCTAACTTCACTTTACGTAAATAGAACTTCAGGAGGCTCAGCCTTCTTTGCAAAAACTTTGACTGCCCTTTATGGATCTGACTCATGGTATAAACCAGACAAATTTCCACATGAGGGACATTGCCATGGTATAAAATGCCATTTGTGCTCATGAGATCACTGTACCAGCCAATGGAATTGTAGAGAGCCTTTTGTGATCATGAGATCACTGTATCACCCAATGGCATTGTAAAAAGCTGTTTATGGTCACGAGATCACTAGGGCTGCAACTAATGATTATTTTCATAATCAATTTGTTTTTTCAATTTAATCGGATAAAAAAATACCATCCCCAATTTAAAATAAAACACACAATTGGAGTGTTACAAACATAAAGTTTACTTCAGAATAAAACTGTATGCACAATTTTTTGCAATCGCTCTGCACTGGAACGCACAGCATTGCGATACCATGCGTTCCAGTACGGGCAATCACACTGTGGGTGGGAGGCGCTTTTGCGGTGCCTTTGGAATGAATTCCACTGCAACGCACCTCCCGCAGCAGAATTTGTCAGTCCAAAACCGAAAATGACTTTTTCCCCAACTTTTATAATTTTTTTAAATAATTGTATTGTAAGCACATGGCACCTGAATAGCTTCAGCGAGGGAATGACAGCTGCCAGTAGCATGATTCGCATAATGATAAAAAAGGCATGTAGAGATCAATAGGAGGTCAAATCATCTAGCAGCGGAAGTCTGAAAAGATGTGCGGCATCAGCGTCCACTGCCCCCGTGTGGTCTCGGTTTATGCGTTTCTAGGGGCACGCCCCCTTCCTCAGAACCTGACGTGACTAACCTACTCCCTGTTCTTAAATGTCTAAGGCTGACCTATCACGGGCGATCTCTAAATGAGTCACATGAAGCTTTTATACCAGTTATCTGTGTTGTAATTGGTGTTGTCTCTATCATTATCATTACATTTCGTTTTACACTATAGAGGCGCTCTTTTTCGTTTTTTGTCTCTCAGATTGACGGTCTTTTCAACCTGTGGGAGCTGCCTCTGCAGTGAGTTCACTATCATTGCAACTGGCTGATATTGCAGGTGGAGGCGCCGGTACTGTTTCCTAATGCAATAGCCAGCCTGCTATTGGTCATTTCAAATTGCAATAGCTAATAGCAGGCTGGCTATTGCACCCGCCCACTGCTTGCTGTGCCCTCCTCCCAGTGTCCCAGAGGAGAGAGCTAGGGGATCCAACCAACTAATCGATAATGAGAATAGTTGGTTGCAGCCCTAAAGATCACTGTACCGTACATCCCACAGGATTGTAAAGAGCCATATGTGATTATGAGATCACATGATTTCCCTGTACCACCCAATGGGATTATAGGGAGCCATTTGAGATCATGAGATCACTATCCAATTGAAGTGGTCATAGTCACAACTCTTTGGAAATCGATTTCTGTACCTGGTCCGACTCCTAAAAGTGATGTTTCTTCTTTTTTGTTAATATGACAATATAGGCAATAACAAATTTGATGTTTTATTATTTTAGATAAAAACCATAACATTTGTGTTTTTGTCAATATTCAGCCATCATTTTTCTCATGTATCTAAAAATATAAAATTGTACCGTTCCTGAAAAATTTGTTTCAAGTTGATCTTGGTTAACTGGAAAATAATTGAAAACCAGCTGGATATGAAGTGGAATTTTCCTAACTAGTAATGCCCTGGTGTATTCAAGCCTTGTATTCCAATTTGGGTGCAAAAGTGGAAATACACGTTAAATAAAGATGTTCTATTTCATGGTGAATTTCATGTTGCCTACGTTTTCCTATGGCATAAAAAATACACATATCAGTGTAAAGTAAACAGCACTTACCATCTTGTCTTGAATTGTATTGTGATTTGTAATGTCTTCCTTATATTGTAAAGCGCTGCACAAACTGTTGGCGCTATATAAATCCTGTATTATAATAATAATAATTATAATAATTTACAATCACCAAATCATTTCATGTCTGTTTCCTGGTGAAAATGTGAGCATCCAATAATGAGACTTATATTTTTTCTTTTACAAGGCACCTGAGGTTATTATGTCCCAGCACTATGATGCCAAAGCTGACTTGTGGAGCATCGGTACCATCATCTATCAGTGCCTGACTGGCAAGGCTCCTTTCCAGGTAGGTTTCTTCTAGCTGATACAGCCTCAGCTGCTTAGTGAACTATGAAATGTATTCTTTGTTTTATATTGATAACGTTCACATTTGTTGGTTTTAGAGCAGTGTCGCTTTCATTCCTGATTATGCTTTTATACTGTCCACATAATGACCTTTAGTAGCGATCACCCTCTTTGTAACCCTGTTCAGATGAGCTAAGACCTTCATCAAGCTCATGATCAGGGTAACAAAAGACTTGTATGTCAGCACCTGTAAGTAGTATTCATCAGTGAGGGAAACTGACCCCTGTCTGTGTAACAAGACACAGTCATGTCTTGAGCCCTCATCAGATTTGGCATGGGTACCAGTGTCCTGAACATGGAGGGGTGAGATTTCAGACATCAAGTGGCTCAATAAAATATGAACTGGTACTTGTATGGGAATTGCCTAAACTATGTCACTTAGTGAGCAATCAACATTGAGAAATATGAATAATGAGCACATTTCTAGCAACATTGATATTATAAGATGTTGCTCCACAATAACCAAGCATTAATGGCATTGATTGGCTAGTGTGTTCCCTTATGTATACTTTGTTTCATATTTCAATATTAATTATTTAGTATGCCCCATGAAGAACAGTCTGATTGCCATGGAGAACTCATTCCATACTGTACATTTGTAGGCCTTTTAAATGCATCTATAGACACACCTGTCTGTAGTCCCCTACATGGCAATGAGTGACAATGGTTGCAATTTGGTGATTATGATGCTGAACTGGTCCTGAATTTCAAACAAAGTTGCCATTCACATGTATGCTGTACCTGATTATACTACAGTGGTATGAAAAAAATGTTGTAAGGCATGGCTATCAGCATTGTCACTGCTGATTCACAAGCCTGTAGCTTGTCAATCAGTGCATGGCCACACTTATAACTGCCCACTGCTTTCTGTTACTGAAACTCTCCCACTGTGATCTGCAGTGTCTGGGAGGGAGAGCGTGTGACACACAAATCAAGTAGTATCTGGTGCAGTCAGGGAAGGTACAGGAAGTTGTTTTTTTACTGTATGATGCATGTGCATTATGTACTAATTGAATTTCAGATTTTCATACAGGAGCCTTTAGTTATACTTTAAGGTGACCATGGCTTTGATAAGATTGTCACCATTCCAGAATTGGCACTGTACTCCTGTAGCCAGCATTAGAGCATTCCCAGTTCTGCGTTCTGATTAGGGCTGCAGCTAACGATTATTTTAATAATCGATTAGTTGCCCAATTATTTTTTCAACTAATCGATTTGGTTGCATTAAGAATCACTCGCACTCTCTCACTCACTCTCTCACTTCACTTGCCCCCTAACTGATAAAGAGAATAGTTGCCAACTATTCAACTAGTCTCATCATCGCTTATTATCGATTAGTTGTTGCAGCCTTAATTCTGATTAGCTTTGAGGGAAATATGCATTTTCCATCGTGTCGGAAAGTTTCTGTTAAGATTCGCGTTTCCTTATTTTGATCATTGTTAATTTATTTTTATCATGACTTACTAATTTTGGCTCGTCACCTGCAAAAATTGTTTGGTGAATGGGCAGCATTGCATACGTTACACAATTAGCTTGATGCATAGAAAATGGTAGTGGTTATCTTGTTTTTTTAGTTAAATGCCCTTACGTCATCTTGTTTTGTTTTATGTTTTTGGTAGCATGGATTACAGTGTGTTATGAAAGTTTTTCTAGTAGGGAGGAACTCCTTGTCTGACAGTGAATACTTGGAGGGTTATTCACTTAGCTGCAGAAGGCAGCCGAGTTAAATAACTGAGCCGAAGTGAACAGAGCTGAACGACGTTTGCCTATTCACTCCGGCTCAGTACGGCTGAAATACGTACATCGGCTGCCTTCGGTCAGCCGAACATGCTCAGCATGTTCGGCTGAGCCGAAGTGCAGAAGGAGGTCAACTCAGCCGATCCAACATCAGGATTGGCTGAGCCGAACCTCCGGCAGCTCACTCGCTGCTGTTCACCCCTATTCTCAACTCACCATTGAATGCTGATGATCATTTTACTGTTAGACCCTTCGGTTCCCTCAATACCACCATGCATGTACATGTTTATGCTTGGATTCAGATGTTCCAATCACCTCCATGGCCACAGGTGTGTAAAATCAAGCACCTAGGCATGCAGACGCTTCTACAAACATTGTGAAAGAATGGGTTGCTCTCAGGAGCTCAGTGAATTCAAGCGTGGTACCGTGATAGGTTGCCACCTGTGCAATAAGTCCATCCGTGACATTTCCTTGCTACTAAATATTCCGTGGTCACCTGTTAGTGGTATTATAACAAAGCAACTGGGAACACCAGCAACTCGGCTACGAAGTGGTAGGCCACGTAAAATGACACAAACGGGGTCAGCGAATGCTGAAGCGCACAGTGAGCAGAAGTCGCCAACTGTCTGCAGAGTCAATAGCTACAGACCTCCAAACATTGGCACAACAACAGTGTGTAGAGAGCTTCATGGAATGGGTTTCCATGGCCAAGCAGCTGCATCCAAGTCTTACATCAGTAAGTGCAATGCAAAGCATCGGATGCAGTGGTGTAGAGCACTCCGCCACTGGACTGTGGAGACGTGTTCTCTGGAGTGATGAATCACACTTCTCTGTCTGGCAATCCAATGGGCGTGTCTGGGTTTGGCGGTTGCCAGGAGAACGGTACTTGCCTGATTGCATTGTGCCAAGTGTAGAGTTGGTGGAGGGGGGATTATGTTGTGGGGTTGTTTTTCAGGGGTTGGGCTTGGCCGCTTAGTTCCAGTGAAGGCATCAGCACACCAAGATATTTTGGATGCTTTAATGCTCCCAACTTTGTGGGAACAGTTTGTGAATGGCCCCTTCCTGGCCCAACATGACTATGCTCCAGTGCACAAAGCAAGGTCCATAAAGACATGGATGAGCAAGTTTGGGGTGGAGGAACTTGACTGGCCTGCACAGAGTCCTGACCTCAACCCGATAGAACACCTTTGGGATGAATTAGAGTGATGACTGCGAGCCGGGCCTTCTCGTCCAACATCAGTACCTGACCTCACAAATGCACTTCTGGAAGAATAGTCAAACATTCCCATAGACACACTCCTTAACCTTGTGGACGCCTTCCCAGAAGAGTTGAAGCTGTTATAGCTGCAAAGGGTGGGCCAACTCAATATTGAACCCTATGGACTAAGACTGGGATGCCATTAAAGTACATATTCATGTAAAGGCAGGCGTCCCAATATTTTTGGCAATATAGTATGTAAATATAAATATAATAACTAAAGAGCGCAAAAGTGAATTTGAAATTATTATCAAACAAATTGCATCAAATGTAAGTTAGGAACCTCAAAGAAAACTGAGTTAGTTTTGGATCAATTTTATTTATTTTCATAGAGGGAGATGGCATTAGTTACACCAGAGTTTCAGCTATTGAGCACTGTAAATAGGCTTTTTTCAACTAAGCAGTTTGGATTAGCTGGTAAATACACGAAAAGGAGACGAGAGCTCTACCCGATGACTGGGAGAATGTAAAAATGTAAATGTTATATATTCTTATTTAATATTTCATAATTACCTGGCTAAAAAGTAATGGATATCATTCACTTTTTTTGGCTTCAAGAATAAGAAAGTACATACAGAAACACATGCTATCTCTCTCCCTCTCCCTCTCTCCTCTCTCCTCCTGGATTTCAGCATGGTCAAGTGTGTTTACGGTCTGTTTTCTAGCACACATCTTTTCCCAGCATGTTCTATACTTATCACTGTACATGAATAGACAGCTTCCAGCTCTGTGTGTTAACTTAAGCATGGAACTCAGAAGCTGCTTACAATGTGCCCACTCTTTCATCTAAAGTCACTTTCTAAAAGAAAACTTCAATGACCTTTCTGGTTCCCTGTAGTCTAATTGCATTATCAGAATAATTGCCACATGCACATTCCATCCTTTTTTGTAAGCATTTCAGTTCACTGACTGAACACAAGCTGACAGCTTGTGTCTAATTAATCATCTTTTTTTAAGTGGTAGAAGCCAATGATGCAACCTGTTCAGAATATTGCACGGTTAGTAGTACATAAAAAACAAATCCTGGATTTCATCACAGTGTGAAATAGGGTTATTCAGTGTTTTTCAGGACTCAGACTCCGGTGATATAAAATGTAAGCTCATTAGTATACTAGAGCTTACATATCAGAGTGGTGTTTTTAGTTTGTTAGTTTGTTGTTTAGTTTGTTAGTTCAATAACTTATTAAGATTACACTTCAGTACTGTGCTGGGTAAAGTCAAGGTAACATTTGCACAGCTAATATAATACTGAAAGTTGCAATAATGTACGATATACCGGTATATGCTTTATAATTGACATATCAATACCTAAATAAGAGCTATAGTATTTTTCAGTTGTCAAAGAGCGGTCTTCTATTTGGGGCCCTTTGCTGGGTTATTCTACTCAGTTCAGCACTTCAGTTTAAATTTTGAGTTTGACATGTCTTTACCTAAGGAAAGGAATATACAAATTCACCTTCTTACTTTGGGCCTCATGTATTAACATGGTTTTACTAAGAGTTGGCATTATTCCTCTGTAGCCACAAATCAGATTCAGACTTTCAAGATGGGTATACATCTAACTGGTGTCTCAGAGGAAACAAATCTAGTTCTTTAGAAGAACATATTGATATATTGGGTCTTTTATTTGCATCAGAGTGCCCTCACTTTCAGTTATATTATGGTTGGATAACGTGGCTTGAATAGGAATTCCACCTTTTCCTCACCATGTAGAAAACCCCTATATATCTTTTACTCATGTGTATATAGCACCGCCATATTTTGCAGAGCTTTGCTATTTATAAATCTAACACTAGTCCATTTACTACTGAGGTGCTTGGAATTTAATCTCTTCAGCACAAATGGGCACATTAGGGCCAGTTGTGTGGTCAGAAGTAGGGATCAACCAATATGAATTTTTCGGTACCGATCATTGGCCACATACCCAATATCTGGTACCGCAGCTG